GGTCTGGGGAGCCTTGGGCGGGCGGGCGGCCTTGCAGCAGCCCTCTGGGGCCCCGAGTCGGGCACAGAGGCCGCCGTGCGGGGCGGTCACGTCCGCGACGAGTGAGTGGGGACGGGCGTGTGGGATGAGGCCCGGGCTCCCGGCGAGCATGTCCCCATGCGTGCTGACGGGCGGGGCAGCAGGTCGGGCTGGCCCTGGCGGCTGGGCCTCTGGTTGGCTGTGTTGCAGCACCTGGGCCCGGCCTCCTCTGCTTTGTGAGGAGTGAGCGTGGGGTCGCCCCAGGGGGCACGCGGCGGGCAGGGAGCGCCGGCCCCTCCACTCAGCCAGCTCAGCCGGCTTCAGCGTGGACCAGAGCGCCCCTGGGCCTCGCCGGGCCCGGCCGGGCCGTGCACAGGGTCGGGTGAGGAGCGCGTTGCTGTGGCCGGGTACCCGGAGCGGGCAGGGCCTCGTCCCGCACTGGGAGGTGCAGGGCAGGCCTGACGCGGTGGCAGGCACCCTCCCTGCCGTCCCCCGCAGGTATGAGTGGCCATGAGCCAGGCATGTGGGCAGCAGGTGGGTGGCCATGGACAAAGCGGGCCGGGCCGCAGCGTGGACCTCTCATGTCAGCTGCTGCCCCCCCCGGTGGACCCGATGCTGGAGCTGGATGGAGCCCCGACAGGACGCTGCTGAGGTCACTCTCAGGAAGGGGCCGGCGTGGTCGCGGGGACTCCTGGACCCCCAGCCCTGCGGAGGCCGCTCAAGCCGATGGGCAGGCACGGGGGGCGGGAGAAGGTGGCGAGTCGCGCTGAGGCGTGTTCTGGTGACTCGACGCTCCGTGTGACGCCCGCTTGGCTTCTGGCTGTTGTGCGTCTTGAGCCTCCAGCCCCAAAGGGGCGCGTGGACACCAGGACTGGCTGCCCCCCACCCCGACATTCCCAGGCTGTCCTCCTCATCTGGGCGTGAGGACCCCTGGAACTGGGTGTCAGGGAGCTCTCGGTGGAGGCCACACACACAGCCCACCTGGCCCTGGCTGGTCAGGCACAGGTGCTTGATGCTGCTGGACATGCAGAGACACATGGACATACACAGACAGACAGGCAGACAGACAGACAGAGTCAGACATACAGGCAGACACAGCCAGACAAACAGGCTGACACACAGACAAACAGGCCGACACGCAGACAAACAGGCCGACAGACACAGTCAGACATACAGGCAGACACAGGTAGACATAGGCAG